TGAGTGGCAACAGCAGGTGGCAGGGGCCGGAGTGGGGAGAGCCGCTTGCTTTTGGTTTTGGACCCTCATTTTTATTTCACATCATGAGTCATTACGTTCTGAGCTGAGTAACTGCTGGGGCTATTTTTACTGCAGCTCAGCAAAGCTTCCTTCTCRCTGCTGCCACCACCACTGCCGCTCGCTGCGGACCCGGGGGCAAAGGATGGGGACATGGTGAGTGGCAGAGGGCGAGGGCAGGGAAAGCTGTGTTTGGGGTGGTGTCAGTGGAAAGGGGGACCRCTGCCCACCTAATCAATTTGGAAACAAAAATAGCATATGCCTTTTGAAAAACAACAGATGACCTGCGAYGTGTGGTGTATTCACACACACATACGTATGTATTTATTATACTGGGCGAGGGGAAGGGGGGAGGGAGAGAAATTCCTTTCGAGTGCTATTCACCAGTCTGGAAAAATAAAGAAGGAAAGCAGAACATTTTTTCCTTTCATCAAAACAGGAAAGAGAGGGGGAATGGGGTGGGGAGCAGATCCATAGACATAATGGATGGTTGCCAGTGTAAGGAAATTGTTCCCTTCTATCCTAAACTTGGAGATTGGGGTGGGGGAGAACTATATGGTCATGTGATCAGGGAAGCATCCCCTCCTCCCCCCTTGATGTAGGAACGTGTCTGCACGTGGGAAAGTGCTGGGAAATCAGTGCCTCCAGCCTTGCCTTTTCTCTTTGAATCCTGCTCGAGCTGCACATCCACAGGGATGTGAAAAGCCCTTGCCTTCTCCTTCACCTCAAAGCACGGGGCAGGAAGGCACAGCTGGCACAAGCCCTCTCCCTCTCTGCCGTTGTCAGGAGCTGTGCTCTGCCCTCTGCATGTGTGTGCCTGCATGCTCGTTCCCCTTCCCCATCCTCCCCTCTCTGCCAGGTTTCTGCCAGAAATGGGTGAGAGGAAGGAGGTGGTGAGGGGCTGGGGGAATCCCTCTGACAGAGAGAGACAGGAAGAGAGGGGTGGTTCCCAGAGAAAGCCTGGCAGGTCCCATCAAATGCCTGCTCCCCAGGTGACACCTTCCCTTTCCCCCGGAGCCGCTGGCTCTGTCAGGGCTTTACTCATCCTTGGAAAGCATTTTCCCTGCCAGTGCCAGGGGCGGGAAGGCAAATTATGCAAGCCCTGGGTACCCTGAGGCTCTGCCTTTCTCCAGCACCAAATACAACACCAAGCTCCCAGACTGTCTCTGTCTCCTTCCTTTGGTCTCTCTTCTCCTTTCCTCCTTCCTCCGTTGAATTGAGCTCAGTCTTTAGGAATTCGGGGCAGCTCCCTCGTCAGCACCTCTGGGGCAAACGGTGTGAACCACAGTGTGAGCTAAGCACAGCAACCCTGTCCTTGTCAGCAGGGTCGGGATTAACCCCGCACAACCGGGCGATGCGGCGCAAAACCAACTCGCCCACGGAACGGATCTCCTGGTGTAAATGAGGTGTAAAACTTACTCTAGGTACTTCCTTTCAGTGCCGCGGCGTCTCCCCTCCATTGAGGGCTGCGGCAGCCCCACGGCGGGGGCGCAGGGATTGCTCATCCTTCTCCTGAACTTAGAGACGGGAGCAGGAGCAACACCTAAGTTAGATACCTTGAGTGGGAGGGCTGACTACACGTTGGCTGTCAACACCTCCTAATTTCTTTCCATTGATTGTTTTTCAAAATAGGACTCATCATGGAGAGGCTGAGACATCTCAGCTGTTCAGACTGAGTTTTGCTTTCCATTGTAAGCCCTGTTTTTCTTCCGGTTGTTTTATAATTCTCTACCCCTTCCGAAAAAAAAGTCATAAATTTAAAAATACATATATATATCACCCCTCACTTCATGCCTCTGTGGATGGTGGCTAGTACAATCAGTTTTTCCACCAACAGGAGATGAGGGGAGAGCAGCCTTGCAGTAAGGAACTGCCTATTGTCCTYAGACACGTGTTGCTCTCCTCCCTAGTGATAAGAAAATAACTGGGGAGATGAGTTCAGCTGTTTGCAGATTTGAGAGCTGCAGTGGTGGCAAAAATGTTTTAATACAAAATCCTGGTGCAGGCTCTTAGGAAATCTGGTTTTGTCGTGGTTTGTTTACAGGCCATTGCCAGCACTGTTGCAACCAGACTTYGTCAAGCGGTGATACTCTAATGGGACATTTTTACAGTCTAGCTGCTTCCTGTATTCTCCAAATACCTTCCTAATACATGCAGCAGTGGTTTCAAACTCTTGTCCTCTGCCATCTGGGACACCGATAGCCCCACAGTCATCCAAACCCATCCCACAGGCCAGGCGAGGGGGAGATCCAGTCATCTTCATTCTTTTTAGGGGTTTCTGGGACAGATATCAAACTAATTTCTCAGAAGTAAGAGAATCAAAGGAACCCCCAGCAGACCCAGGGCACAGCAGTTTTAGGTGCATGGACCTCTATTATTGAACTCTGTGCCAATGAGACTGACCCAGCCAATCTAAAGACCTCACTAGTGAAATATCTGTCCCTGTCTTAAAAACAGAAAGAATGAAGCTTGAGCAGCTTGAGGATCACTTTGCTCTATTTCCAGGCAGGGTCATAGGTAGATGATTAGTCAAATTCCAAACATCCTCTTCCTTGCTGTCTGGAGGTTCAACAGGGATTAGCTTTTTGTTTCTGATGTTGAGCTTCTAAAAACTGCCTAGCATCATCCACATGAAAATAAATAACTCTATTTCTATCCCATCTAGCTTGTAATATAGCCGGATATTATTAAAAAAAAAAATGCACACCACACATATCTCCCCCAAAATCAGGCCCTGCAGCAGCTCTTGTTGCTACCAAGCAAGAAATTTGAAGCAGTCCCTGCTAGCTTTCTGCTGAGACCTTCTCCTCTCCAGCAGCGATATCTCTCCCTGCTGAGGAATTTGATCAGCCCTCCCACACGCAGGCTGTTCTGTCCTGGCCAGGCAGCCACTCCAGCGTGGGGAACTCCCCACACAGGTGGCGTGAAGGTGGGGGAGCCACGCCAACTTCTGTGAGGGCAGAGATCCTCAAAAGGCACTGGGCCTCTATCAACCCCCTGTGAACCTTAAACACATAACGGGGTCATGGACATTTGGGACCCAGCTGCCCTAAACTCCCTCTACAGAGATAGAAGGACTTCTCAAATCCTCACCTTTCTCCCTGCTGACTGCTAAGGAGCCCAAGGCTACAGCATTTCTTTGGCTGGTGCCATCTGGAAAGAGGTGAGATGGACCGAGGCCCTTTCAAAATGCTGGGGGGGTGGGGCTGGAGCCAAATTATCCTCACTTGAAATGGCTGGTACACTGCTGGCAGGCCAGGATGGAGAATGAGGGGAATTCTAAGAGCGCCCTGAGGAATTTGGGGTGGGACAGGGCTAATGTGGCAGGAGCATCTAAGTTAAAGTCTTGTTAAGGTCTCTGGCGGTGGAAATGAACAAAGGTATGCCTTGCATATCTACTTTCTCCCCCTTGAGCTCCAAAATTGGAACCAAGCCACTTGAGACTTGGTTTGATGGGCTCCCAGGACCTTTCTTATCCCTGCACTCCATCACCTCAGATGGCCCAGGCCTTAGAGCTGTCATGGCTCTGACCAATTCCCCAGCTGTGGGGAAATCTGCCCCCTCTTATTGTGGGTTAGGGTGAATGAAGGTGATCCCTTGTGACCCAAAAGCACCTTGACACGCAACCCCCAGAGGAGCCAGGCTGTTTTAAGAAAGCTTTGGAGGACTCCCAGTATTCCTTGTGTCCCTGTGCTTCCTGACCAACACCCACATCCACGAGACCCAAGTCAGGTTTGGAGGTGTAGCTAGCCAGGCTGGAGGTGTCAGATGCCTGGTGATGGGTTCCAGTGGCTTCTCCTCCTGCACTTGGGCCCTTGGGATGAGTTCAGGTGCGAGACCGTCTGTTTTAGAGAGGGTTGGCTGCAGGAGACTCGCAGGCAGCCAGAGAGTCAAAGGGAGCACATGTGATGCTGTGAGATGAGGCCACTGGCATGCCAGTGGGTGTACGTATGTGAGATGGGAAGAGAGAGGGGGAGAGTGAAGGAGAACACATGGATGCCCAGGGATGTGTGAATGAGACAAAATTTGCACATAGCTGTGCATGCAAGCGGCTCGAATAGAGGCGTGTGCGTAGCATAGAAAAAGCAGGGGAGATGCTTGGGATTCAGAGTGAACGCCTGCCGAGTGCCTGCGGTGCATGACAGTGCAGGAATGTATCAGTGGATACGAGCCTGCACAAAGATGGTGCAGAAACCCCCCTGGTCGTGCCTGGAGTGTGCTGTGCGAGGGTGCAAGTCGGCGCCGGGAGATCACTCATATGCATGTGAGAGGGTGTGCGTATGGGTATTTTTTCAATAGGATGTGAACTCTTTCTTGAACTCACCTGTTAGCAGCCTTCCCCTCCCCATCCCTCTCTCCCCCGCCCCCTCCTCCCCCAGCAAATATCGGCTTGCTTAATTTCCCTTCAGATGTTTATTTCATCGTGGAGATAATCATGCAGCAAAATACCTCCGGGTGCCACGAGCAACACCAGATTGTCTTATAGGAACGTGTAAATTTCTCCGGCTTCTTTTTTTCTCCTCTGCACACAAAGAGATGTAAGATATTAAAGTCATTTCTCTCCCTGGAGCTAGTGGTGTAGCAGGGCAGGGAAGGCGGTGAGCAGAGCTCAGAGAAATGGGCTCCAGACTGAAACAGCGAGAACCTGAGGCCAAAAAAAATAACAAACTACCGTGCCGGGAACTCCTCTCTTCTTATCTCTTGCCGAGGAGGCAGGAATTTCTGTCCCCATTCCTCACGCGATATTAAAGCCACATTATATAGGTTGCTGCAGCATTAGTCATTTTTAATTAATTTATCATTGAAATTAACACACTTTTTATTTTGTCAGCAATGAACTGCTACTCCCTCACTAGATTTCCTTGATACCCAGCCAAGAGGAGGATGGCAAGTTATGCTCCACCCATCTCCTCTGGTTCATAAAAGGAGCAGCCCTGAGTGCCAGCTTAGTCTCTCTTGCAGCTCGCAGAAAATAAAGATCCGTTGGCTCACTCGCCTCTCCTGCAATTTCACCTTTTCTGCATTTTTTGTTTTTTCTTTCTTGTTGCAACAGAGTGTGGGAGGAATCATCAGYGGCTCCACTTTGAGGCTTGTCAAGGCTCAGCACACGCACACACACGCACACACTCGCAACCCAGAGCAAAAACATTTGCTCTCACCTGTCTCCAAACCCAAAGCAAACCTCTCGTCCAAGCAAACCGCTAACACTTGGAATGAGAAGACACCTGAGCCAGAATCTAATGTAAGGGGAAGAAATGCAGTGTACACTGGCAACTTTTCTCTAAAAAGCAAGTGGCCAAAAGGAACGAAAGGAGCTTTTAAGAAGAGGACAGCTTAAGGAAGAAGATTTCATTTTCTGGATTTCAAACCAAACTTCGGAAAAGTTGTTGTTTTTTTTTTTTTTCTTTTAGTTATTATTCTGTGCACCTTCTTCTAAGAACATTGAGACATTGTTACCTGCATGTAAAAGCTTTTACATATATATATATATATATATATATACATACATACATACATATATATATATGCATATTTAAAAGGGAAGAAAACCAAGAGGAAGAATAGCATGTGGACCATCACCTAGCCAAAAGCACCACTGAAGCATCCCTCGCGGCAAGGGGGACACAGACTCTGGATGTGTATAATTCCGAGGGACTGCATTTTTTTCCCACCGGGCTTATGAGATAGCACAGAGGCAGGCGAGTCACCGAGAATTACTTCTGTCTCCTCTCACCACCAGCACCACCACCTCCACGTCCTCCTCCAAGGGCTCCTGCGATTCTGCCACCTCCTCCCGGGTCGCAGGGGACATGGGAACGCGCGGCGCCCTCGATGCCTGAGGCCGAGCGGCCGCGGGGCTGTCTGCGGGAAGCGCTTCCCTCCCGGGGCTCGCCGTCCATGTGCCCGCAGCCGGCGGGGCCTGGAGTCGGGATGAATTTCGGCGTGGTCTTCGCGTTCATCCTCTCGCTGCCCCTGGCCCGCATGGAGGTGAGTTTCCGCCGCTGGCAGCGGGCGGTGCTGCCGAGCTGCCGGCCCCGCGGAGGGGGAGAGCCGGCGGCGGCTCCGCAGGTGCGGCGAGGCAGAGCCCGGGGGTGGCCGGGGGAGCGGCGCGGAGCGGCGGGGGCGCGGAGCCGGGCGGGCGATCCCTGCCCCGGTCCGCGGGAAGGGCTGCGGCGGAGCCCAGGCGCGCTAATGGCGGGCAGCGACCGCCGCCCCCCGCCCGGAGGGCAGCGCCCGCTGGAGGTGGG